GATGGGGGTTCCTTTTCCTATACTGTATGTCACCAGGTAGGAATATACTTGTTCTTTTCAGCAGAGCATACAAATAGTTTTTTGTCCATCAAGTCACAGTTTTATCCTGTTGATTCTTTGCTTCCCCTGAAGCATATGCATGAATAAACACAGGGCCAGTCTTCTCCGGGCAAGTTAGGGAGATTGTTAACTTCTCTCTGTATGAAAATATTCCCCTGCACCAGCTGGATCTTTCTGCCCTCAGTTCTCAGGGCATTGTAAAACCTCACCTTGTGATTCAATTGTAGGAGACATTGAACTCTCTGTAGCTCTGTCAGTGACTCATGAAAATAATTTTCTTTCACTTTGCCTCTATTTTCCCTGCTCAAAAATGAAAATAAAAACATTTATTCATCCTGCAAGTGTCTGTAAAACTCTGGGGAGCCTTTGAATAAAAGACACCAGAGAAGACCAAATTATTTCATTCTATTCAAGGGTACATGTTTTGCTTTTCATACACTCTGCCTTATTTCCATGCTAGATATATTTAGGTCCTGAAGCCACTAGAACTGGGAGAGCTCAGTACCTTCTGAAGATTACTTATGGGTTACTGGCCACCAGTATGATGTCCCACTCCTGCAGGGCAATATCACTAGAGCCAAAACTATTGGCACTACGGTATTCCTGAATGCAATCCATGAATTAGAAATGAGCATTAATTTGCCACGGATGTATCGGATAACTAAAGTAATAAAATTGAATAAATGGAAATAATATAAATGAAAGAAAAGGAAGATGCGTGTAATCAGGCAACCATCTTGGGAATCACTGTTAATGTGAAAGAGAAGTATTTCAATTAGGTGTTGTCTTTTTTCTTACTTCTATGCAGACAAATTATTTCTGCATCAGAGAAAATTCTGTTTATGGCAACTCACCCAAATGTCAAATGTTTGTTTCAAGTTAGCTGTTCCCAGTAGTGCTTTTGGAAATCTTTGTGTTCAAAATGCCCAGTATAACACACCATCAAAATCATTTGAGTTCTTTAACAAAGCCAGGTTGATCAAGGAAAGAGGAGGGGAGACAGGAGTCCTGGATTCCACACCTACATTTTATCCCTGGCCTGGGTTTCAGTCTTAGGCATTTCTTCCTGTAGTAGCTTTCATCTGACATATGGAAGAAACCCTGCATTACATCCATATTGTCTTTTCAGAATAGTTCGTAGGACTAGGTACATTGGAGAATGTCTTCTGAAATATACCGTAAGTAGGTGCAATGACTTGGGCACCCAGGCATTTTGGGCACATTGTCATTAGCATCCCAACTCAATGCTGAACTCACTGTGCTCATGGATCCTCCCAAGGAGGCTTCTGAGTTTGTAAAGCCACAAAAGAGAGCTAGACTCTTATCTTCCAATTCTCCCAATGTTAATTGCTTGCTTTCACTGTCTTTTGTGTCTTTTGACAAAATGCTCCATTCACAGCCCAGTTGCCACTATAACTCTGTTCTTCTTTTTCCTCTTGTTCCTTGGCTGCTGAAGGGGGAGCCTTGTGTCATGGGAGAGAGGAAGATCTATAAAAAACGCAAGCCTGGAGCCCAGTGTTCTCTAAGTCGGGACTATTCCCAAACTGTGGTGTCTGAACCATGTGTCTGTGGTCAAGGGGACTTTGAGTGGTGAGTAAGTGGCTCTGGGGACCTTTGCAGGGACTTTTCTTGTAGCATTGGCAGTGACCAAGCTACTGTCCAGACAGAAAACCTTGCAGAGAAACTGAGTCTTGTGCAGCTCAGTGGCTGTGATTATACCATACAGCGTAGATGTGATACCCATACCTCTTGTGTGAGGATGTGTCCTTCATCTGCAGGAGAGATTTGTTAATCTCCATGAGAAATCCAAGCTTGGAATTCAAAAGCAGAAAATTGCAAGTACTGATTGACATTTTCTTGTCCATCAGTCTAAATGAGTGACAGCCAGGACTCTTCTCTGGTTTAAAGTATGTCCCTTACGGGTGAAAGAGGGAATTTCTCTGTCCTCACTTCCCAAGGTCATTGAATACCTAGAGAGGAAGCTAGGAAAACATGTACATTTTAATCATTATTCCTCTGAATTTGTGGGAACAATTTGTTGCTTTTTAGCAATGTTTTATTGAGAAATTTCTGAAAGGGCTTTTGTGACATGACTGTACAGCCCACCCTTGTCAGATGTAGCTACTTGTTTTGCATAAATATTCATGTTTCTAACTTAATGGGTCCATAATTTCCAAACTGCTTTAAGGTCACTTTGAAAGCAGCTTAAAAAAAATAAAGAAAACAAGGAAAAATTTAACCATTGCTTGGCAATCAGAAATAGGAGATGGGAGGATGTGTAACAGTCAAGATCTCTGCATGATGAATTCCTATGGGGAACGTGTGAGAGGCAATATTTCAAAGATTTAAGACTGTCTATAGCTGTAATGTTTGAGCTTAAATGATCAGAATGCCATTTAAGTGGAGTTCAAAATACCTTGGAAGCAGATCAGCTGAGAAAACATTTTCATTTTTACAGTGGGTTATGAGGATCAGTGTCTGATTCGGTATTGGTGTGATTTCTGAAAACTTCACTCACCTTCAAATCCTTCCTGAAGAGGTGTGAGGCATGAAATCTGCACACTTATTGGACTTAGGCCAGCTGAGACTCACAGTTCTCTTTAGAACATGGACACACTGAAATGTGGAAACGAATAAAAAATATAGTCCAAAGTGTTTTCTTGAATATCGGAGTAGTTTGTCTGTAAGAGAGGTTCAGGGATATAGATCAGAGATTTTAATCTTATCTGGATGAATGTTTAATTTGTTCCTAATGCCAAAATTACACCTGAGACTCCTTAGCTTGACTGAGGAGATCTTTACCCTTTGTTCTCATCGTGGGAACTTGCAGGATGAACGAACTCTCTTGTCCTGCAGTAACTGCCCTTGGCATTGGCATATGCCTCCGAGCACCAATCTCCAGAGATGCTTATGAATTTGCTCTCTTTTTTCCTTTTTTTTTTTTTTTTTTTTTTGTGGCTTTGTGCCTTGCCAGCTTTCTGTTTTCCCAGTGAGGCTTATCTTTTTTAAGCTGTAAGTGGAAAAATGTGGTAGCTAAATCAGCCTTAAGTACTGTTCTGCCTTGAAAAGGGTCTGCATCAGAATGCACCTTTTCAATCAATTGATGTGTTCTTTGCATGTGTTCAGTATCATTTTTGCTTAACTTTCCCACTAATGTGAGAGAATATTGCTGTTAACCTTGTCAGTCCTACAGAGGAAACATGGTTAGAGGACAGCAAGCTGGCTTTTGGTTCAGACTGTGCTGCCAGCAGAATTGTTAACTGGTTTCCAATTGCAGAATTGTTATGGCTGGTGAAGGAGAATCCGAAGAATCAGCTTCAGTTTAAGGGTGAGTTTCGCTGCTAGTCTGCAGGGCTGACTGGAAGACGGTGTGGAGCAATCAGTTTGAAGAAAATACTAGCAGTGCTGGAAATGTGGCACCAAGCTTGATTATCCTTTCCAACCCAAACCATTCTATGATTCTGTGATCTTAAAAGTGATTTTCAGAGAGGAAGTGTGGACTCGTGCTCTGACTTGTGACTTCTAAAGGATGAGACAGTTATTTAGTCAGTGGCAAGATAAAGATTATTCTAGAATATGATTCATCTGCCTTCTTTTGGATGTCAATATGAGAAGGGGATGTGTTGAGAAATACCTTTTCTCTCCACTGACTAGAATAAGGCTCTAGGCAGGAAGCTCATGAAGACACATCCCTACTGTAGGTATCTACAGTTGGAAGGACAGCTCCTACTCTTCACATGATGCTTTTGGAAAGGAAAGAAGTCCCCTCAGCTTTTTCTGGCTGGGTTCACGACAGCTAGTTGTTCCTGGAAGCACTGGCTGACTCTTGTGTGTGAACTGAGCAGGGCCTGTGGATTGTCGGGAAAACAGGGGTCAGCAGCTGGGGTTGTGTGAGTATGCTGACCAGCAGGTCCCAACAGACAGGCCCTCTGTTTCCCCAGTAAGTAGGTTTGAAGGCTGGTTCTGGTCAGCACAAGCTGTGATGGCTGTGCTCCCTCCCATGTGGTCCCAACACCTGTGCCCCTGTCTGCCTCACGTTGCAGTGCTATGTTTCCTGCTGTTACATTTAAGGCTGATCTGAATTTCAGGGGCATAAATCATGACCCAGGGCCCCAGTTCAACAAATCCTCATGAGTCAAGATCAGGGGTGGCTCCTGCCAACCCTTGTAGTCATTTCTAAAAAGCAAACCCTGGCCTTTTTCTGACAGAGAGAATGGCAGAAGGAACTCAGAAGTGTTATTAAAATGTTCACTGATCTTTCTTTTCCCTCCTACTGCTTCTTTATTTACTCTGTCAAGACAGCTTTTCTGAGAAAGACAGCGCAGCAGCTGGACTTGATTATTTCCTTAACTTATGCAAACCCTGGGGCTTACGAGAAGGAAGGTGGGCAGCATGTGAGGTTTTAATATACATTTACCAGAAGTTAATGAACAAGCACAGAACCTTGAGGGCATACAGCAATGTTGTCTTTAATTTTATTAAATATTTATGCAGCTCTTTTCTTCTTTGGGGCAAAGTACAGCTCCTCCTGAATATTTTTAATTACCAAGTCACTGCCAGGCATTTTTGACTGTGCAGGTCGAACCCACTGAGAATGATTAAATTGAATGTTGAGAGAAAGAGCATTAGGGAATCTCCAAACCTTTTAAAGGAGCTTGCAGAATTTTTGCCCTCCAAAGAAGGAACAGTGGCAGCTTGTGTCACTGGGGACATAGCACAATTTTGTCTTACGAAAGTTCTTTCCGGAGACTTTCTGTTGGCAACTCAGACTCCGAACAGGGGAAAGATAAAACTGAGAGTGTCCTAAAGGGCACAGAGAGCTTTCAAGGCAGTGGCTTCTGCAGTGTCTGTGTTTCTACAGAGGTTTAGTTTGTTGGCATTTGTTAACCTGCTTCAGGCAAAAATCCAGAATGTCTTATTTGTCCCTTGACTCCAGCCTCCCAATAAAGACTATGCATAGAAACCTGATCCAGGAAAGCTTCAGATTAATCCTTTTAATTCATCATTGTATTGGCATGCAAAGGCAGCTGTAAAAAGAAATCTTGGATGTGATTGTGTACACTCTTTGGTGGTCCAAGGAAGCATCAATATCCTGGATTACCTTCCCCATGTGACACAGTGCCATGTAATCCATAGAGTACCAAGTTGGCTGTGTTGTTTTAGTTTAGTGCTGGAAAAACATCAGCTATATTTTTCTTTCAGGCCATTAACAATATGTAAATTTACATACCGTGGCTAGTTCAGGAAGTTCTCCTAGAGTTTTATATTCCTAGCTGCTTCATAGGGTAAAAAGTTACATTAGATCTTGGAATTAGTCTGATTTGTGCAGGCAAACCAAAAGAACCCAAAAAGTGAAATTATTAGAGATTAGGAAAAGAAATTAACAATACAATTTTCTTTCAAAATCTCTGCCCGTGTTTTGTTACTAAATGAAACACGAGTCCTCCAGTACTCTGCAAGGTTGATAGTTCTGGTGTTGTCAGGTATCACATACCTTCTGTGAACTGTGTTCCTGCCTCTCAAACTAATCAAGCACTTTGTCCCTGGATGAGCCCAATCCATGATGTGGTATCACCCAGCAGAGAGCCACCAACACACACGTGCTTTGGGGAACAAAAACGTCACCTAGAACTCCAAGCCAAATCTAGTGAATGGGTACAATGATGCACTCATGACTTGTCTCTGTAGTGACTATGGATATGAGAGACACAGCAACAACCAGTGTATCCCAGCCTTCTGGTTCAGCCCGTCCTCCCTATCCAAGGATTGCAGCATTGGTCAAAGCTACTGGAACAGCACTGGGTAAGTGAATCTTGCAGTCTCTCTGGTTTTGGTGACCTTGCAATAGGCAGCAGAACCTGGATGGTTCCTTTTCCTCTGCATCCCATCTGGCTCTTTTCCAGTCTTATTTGTGAGGTAATGTTTGCAGCAGCATCTGTATGGAACATTGCCTCGTTCCTCAGAGACAGGGAGAAGCACATTAACATAAATGACATGTAGATATTGTATTGTTATCAAGTGATGTATGATCCCTGGAGCCTAGACTTGGAGCTCCCCTTTGCTGCAAAATTAAAACACGAATCAACAAGGTCTATCTGAGAGACAGCTGAACATCTAAAAGGACAGGTTCAAGGTATTTCACATAGTTTTTCATTGAACCTCTTCCTATCTTACAACTCCTATTCGTAACAGCTTCTGAGAAGCCTCAAATGAGCAATTTTTAACCTCCTTTTTTTCCATCCTCTGCCATTTTCACTTTGTATATACAATGCCTTGTGATTTCAGGCAAGCTGCATGTGCTGGTTTTTCTTGGTTTTATCCAGAACAGATTGGAAGTATTGGTTTATTATGGTAGCATCGCTTTGCAAATACTGTTCTACCATACTCTGAAACTCTGGTTGCATTTGCTGGTGCAAAACTGTGATGTTCTTTCTCAGGCAATGCAGGCCCTAAAGACTTTGCAGGGCTGCTTCTGAGTCACGGATCCTGCATGCTTGAGTGTTACGACAGGGTGGTTCATGGCTGGTTGATGAGGGTGTCTGAACAAAGTGAGGCTGCTGGGAGTCCGGAGTCACTTAACTTCAGAGACCTCCTTTCAGCTGAAAGGTTATTATAAATAAGGGATGTAATTACGGGAGCCCTGGCCAGTCTAACTGATTGTAGCCTTCTTGACAGAGAGCAGTAAGAAAATAGTTGGAGGCTGTGTCTTCTTAACCAAGCCTGTATTTTACTGTGAAATTACTACAAAGGGTTAATCCCTCTCAATAACACTGGGAATAACCAAGTGTCTTGCTAGTTAGCTAACCTCTTCCAAAAAAACCCAAGAGGAAAACCCATTCCTTGAAACATTTTAAAATTGGACTGGACAGAGCTCTTGGCAGATCATTCCAAGTATCTTCTAACAGAGTAGAGGCAGACACAATGTAATATAAAGCATAATTAAAAAGCTGGGATGCAGGGAGCAATCCTGCAGGCATGGGGAATTGGGGGAGTTTTTTGCCTTTTAGCAGTGCAGAGTAATTCACCTCCACAATGTGTGTCTGTTCTCAGTGATGCTGCTGCGAATCTCTGGAGAAAGTTGGGTTGTGATTTGTTTGGCTTTCTCCAGTTTAATAAAATGTTAGATTTCTCTGATTCTTCCATTCTGTGAGGGAATCATGCAAGCAGTTAGGCTTTGAAAAAACACATGGATTAATATGGAGAAACAAAACAAAAACAAAACAAAGAAACTTTCCCGCCTACTGCCTGAGCCCAATCTCCTTTTGTTACTGTTCCCCAGATACCGAAGGATTGTGTCTAACAACTGCACAGATGGCTTGCGAGAGAAGTACATGGCCAAGATGGAGAAATGCCCTGGAAAAGCACCGCGGGGACTGCACATCCTCACTTCTGATGGAAAGTTGGTCACAGAGCAGGGACACAATGCCACCTTCATCATTGTTATGGAAGAGGTGTGTGTGTTTCACTGTGTGGCAGGATTGGCACTCTTTTACCTTTCAGGCTGCTGAGAGGAAAATAGCAATCGGGTGGCGTCATGAAATGGTCTCACTCCTGGGATTTAAGAGAATTCATGAAAGAGGGCTTATGTGGAACATGCAAACCAATCATATTGGGTCAAGCCAACGTAGTATTTGGCCAGTTATCTTGTCTACCTGTGATGATGAAGCCAATGCTGAAGACAGATAGATCTGGTCAAAAATATGTTTCCCCACTAGCTTCTTACTGCCTCCAGTGAACTGCAGTTTATGGAGTTTGTGAGGTAGAAATGATGTCTCTATGCTTAATCATTCTATTTCTGAGATCAAAAGCTTTAGCTGAAGCTTTGCTGGGAAGGGTTAGGAACAATGGGGGGAGCATTTTCTGACTCATGGGGAGCAGTGAGGGACATTATTGTTTTGCAGTAGGAATTGAACCTCTTTGAACCACCTCTGAGCTCCCAGCCTTTGTCTATTTTATTTATGTGGTATGATTCCCTCTGTAGCCAATAGTAGCATAAGTGATACCAGGCCATGCTGATGCCTGAAGCATACAAAATATTGACACTTCTGGTGATCTTTCTGAGTCAAGTACACCACTGTTTGGCAAACGTGTGTGATGCAGCCTGTGTCACCAAGGCTTGTGGCTCAGTGGAGGGTTGGATAGCTAAGGCAGGCACTTGGTATTTATTCAGGCTGACAGGAGGGTTTTTCACATGATCGCATACCTCTTCTGGCCTGTGATTTGATTTGGTGTGACTCTATATGATATCTGTGGCTGTACCACAAAAAGCCCTGCTGTGTTTGCAGCTGCTGCATTCCCCTGCTGACTTCTGACTGCCCATGGAAGGTGTCATTGGATGTCCAACAGTGATTTTCCCATAATGGCTTGTGTTACATATGTTTTCTGGTTAAACAGAAGGGTCAAATCACACCCTCACTTCTGATGTCTTTGGGTGTCTCAGGAGGGGCAGACAGGGAGTGAGGTGGTGTTAGAGAACCACAAGAACATTTTGTCATCTACTCCATCCAATGTACTTTATTTTGGGACAATACCTGGAGATAGCTGGGAGCCAGGCATATCATGAACATAAGAATAACGACACCAGGACAGACTAGATGCTTGTCTCGTAAGTTTCCTGCCTCTGACAACAAACAGGAGTAGGTCTCTGGGGAAGTCATATTAGAAACAGTACAAGCCTAGTGTCCCTTCCACTCGCATTCCCAGGGGTAGGTTCCATCGGCAACTCAGACCTTCAAGAGTACAAGAAGCTGTTGTAAATCTGAGTATGCTGCCATGGAGAAGTTCTTTTTCTCATGATATCTTGTTATTTTTTTTATTATTACTTCTATTAATTTAAATTCTTATACATTAACTAAATGTTTCATTGAGGCCACGTTAGTCTGACAGGGCCTCTTTACATACTTCCTCAGAGGTTCTTGCAATGCTCTGCTTTTGTACAAAGAGGAGTGCTTGTCTACCTGGCTGATTCTTTTATATTCTGCAGACTTGACATGGTAAGACGATTTGTATAGACACTGTGAGTAGGAGTTCAGCAAAGAACAGACATAATCTAAAAATTAGGAATCTAGTAGTAATTTATTAAGGAACTCAAGCGGAACTGCTGCATACAAAGAATGATAAACAGATGGAGAATAAGGCAGCAGTCAAGGTAGCTGAAGAGTGGAGTCTTTACAAGGCTTTAGAGATTGAAAAGGCAGCAGAATAAATATGTGAGGGCGTTCACTCTATGTCCTTTGTTGAAAAATAAGGGTAGTTAGAAAAACATTCAACTGAACAATTTTTTTCTAAGGGAAGAGGATTTTCAAGAACATGTCTTTGTGGGTGAACAGCTTATTCCATAGAGAGTTGTATTGGGTTTGTTTTTTAAAAGAATAGACATTTTAAGAGGAAAAAGGAAAAAAAAAAGAACACAGACTTTGGGGAGAGGTATTCCAATTTTTCAGTGTGAGCATGAGACAAATGAATTGCCATCAAAATATTCCTTGTTAGCTGGAAAAAATAATTTCCATGGAAGTCTTAATTATTACATACTTTACTGTCTACACATTCATTTCTGCATCCCTCCACCTTCTCTAGTCACTCTGTTTCCTGCTGGGTTGTTTTATGCCTATGTCTACACTTGCTTTCTGAGCTGAACAGGAGTCTGAGAAGTCCTCTTACGGATATACCCATGTGCTCTCCGTTCAGCCTGTCTAGTGTTTCAGAGTAACCCTGATCAGCAACTTTGTAATTAGTCATCAGGTCCTTTTTACCTTCTAGTACACACCCTCAGTATATTGGTGTGACTGACCTTTATGCTGTCCAATGGTAAATGAAGACTTTATCATAGTTAACTGAAAACTAAATTTCTCAGGATTTATAGATTTGGCCTTAGTAGTATTGTTTGCAGTTGTAATTCAGAATATGTGCATGGCAATGACAACAGACAAAGAAATGCAGAATGACTCATGATTTTGCTGTATTATTAGAAATATGGAGCTATACTGTGACTTGGACTGTGTATACATGCAAGGTAACATGAGGAAATATGAATTTTATTTTTTTTTAATATCCAAAAAGTCTTTGAGCACAAAGAAATAATAAACTGACAAATTTCTGTTGTATTGAGTTATGTTCTTGACTAGAACTATTAATCTCTTCTTGCACCTGATCTTTTTCTTGCATCCCCAGCTCCTCTCTGAAGGGTACATAAACTCCCCTCAGGCCTAAATTGTTGTTTATATGGCAGCTCCAGTTACTGAACTGTTCTGTTCCTTCTTCTTCTCTTTACACCATCTCAGAGCTTTCCTCTTTCAGTATTTATGAGGTGATGGTAAAGCTTTATAACAGGGTTGTAATTGCAAGTGATCTGGGAAGGCAAGCAGTGACTAATCAAAGAGCAAGCCTGAGCAAGTACTGGAGCTCTGCACATGACAGAAGATTGCTAAACTGTGTTTATAGAAAAAGATAGTCACATCCATGTCGTATTTTTATGCAAACAATTTGAGAAGTTCATTAGAAGATCCAAAATACATAATGTATATATACTTCACTCGTCTTTGCCCCAAGCATATGTTGGATGAAATGTAGCCCTTCTGAAATCAGTGAGAACTTGGCATTTAACTTCAGAAGGCCAAAATTTTAACCACTGTTCTCTCTATCCATTTTGGTCACTTTGTTAGTGTGGCTTCCAGGCAGAAAAACTCTTCCAGGCTAATCCTGATGGGGAGGTGATTCTGAAGGGCTGTTCCATGACAGCACTCCTCTCCGCTCATTCCACCATGCTTTTTCTGCTCACTGATTTCAGTATGCAGAGCTTATTCCCTTTGGTAGTTTACAGGGCTTAAAGCAATAAAATGTGCCTTTTGAATATATATGGAGAGCAATGATTTTTTTCCATTTGAAATACCTCCATTTCTATTTTAATTTATATTCATAAACTCCAGAATATCTGACATGGTGTGTGGGACTAGCATACTTGTTCTAGTGTTTTATATACTGCATTCAGAGGTATGGAAAGGAGAAAGAAAACAGGATTAGTGTGATGGGCAGGCAGGCTTTGCATTGAAGACTCAACTCTCATAATTGGGTGGAAAGATCATCTGCTACTGTTTAGTCATGAAAAACCTGTTCCTGCTTCTCCACTTCAAACTTTCTCATTTCAGATAGGATCCTATTGGAGAAGCAAGGAGGACACAGAAAAGAGAATCATAAGGCACAGGAGAGGAGCTGCTGTGATGGGTGCAGGAGATTTCAGCCTAAGGTCACCAGTGATTAATCCAGCCCAGATCAAATTTTTGTCTGCTGTTCGGTGTCTTCTGTACGAGATGAACTTGCGGCCTTAATACTTTCCCTTGAGAAGTGGTTTTGAAAAGCTTAACAAGCTGGGGGAGCCTTTCTATCAAATAACTGAATATCCCAGAAGTGTAATTTTGCCCTTGCTAGAGAATTTTTTAGAGTGACTAGAAAAACTCTCTGTCAAAAGGATGTTATTGGTTTCTCAGTATTATAGGTTTTAGTGTCACTACCACTCTAGTCCTCCATGTTTTCTTTTGGATTTTTACTGTATTTTTAATGTCCTAGTAGGACAGAGGTGAAATGGTGCCCTGATAAAGTCCATAGATAAAATTCCCCTGGCTCCTGTGAAATGAGATGATGGAGCAAATAAGGAGAGAGATCTAATGTATATAACAAAATATCCATATCTCAGGAACTGCATGTAATAACACTAATTGTATGTGTATGTACGTGAAAACCCCAAGTATACACTCAAGGCAAATTCATTTCTGAAAAATACCCTTCCTACATGCTGATTTGTTAATGCAGACATAGCCTATGAGGAAGATAAAGTCTGTTGGGCATGCTGCGGTCCTGGTTATCCACACAGGGGATCTGCTTCAGTGTCGTCTGGTTTCTTGTCTGTTCACCCTGGTTTCTATCAAAAAGACAAGATCAGGTGCACTTTGAGGACTGGGACTGGTTGTAGAACACAGCATCCTGCCTCTGTCAGTACTGTGATTGCCACTCACTCAGGCTGATGGCAACTGCCAGTAAGACAGCAGCTCCTGTGAGTCTGGAGTCGGTGGGAGGCAAGAACTGGGACCCCTTGCCTTTCATGGGTGTTTTCTATCTCTGCAAGAGCCTTTGTTGTGCGTCTTTTGTCTTGGTTGCTGATCATTTGGTTTAGAACAGCCTGTGAGCTATTTAATCCTGATTTAAGGACCACTTTTTCCATGATCCAGCCAATATTCTGCCTTTATCCTGACTTTCCTGGGATGATAAGAAGATGGGATCCAAAATGGATCTGTGCTATGTATGAATGTGTTCAGACCGTATGAAAAATTGCTTACGGATGTAAGGTTCATAATTGGAATTTATGCTGCAAGCCATGTGTTTTACCGCACACAGGTAAAGTTGAAAACTACTGCTCAGAGGAAAGATGGTTCTGTCAGCTCTAGAACTTTTAGGGATCATCACACGTGGTTATCCCAAGCAATCTTTTCCTGTTGTCTGATCTGCACAGTTTTTCCAGGAAGTCATGGTTTATTTTGTGCAATACCTGGCCCAGAGACTTTAGTGAAATCTGTGAGTTCAGTGGTCTTTTCCAGTGAGCCCAGTGGATGTAGGATTCTGCAGGATTTGAGCTGGGATTGGAAGTACATCAGAACTGGCTGTGAGTTACATGGTTGCTTCCCTCCCTTACATCAGTATTGACTGTAACTGCACAGTAGCTTTGATCTTAACCCTGTGCACTTCCAGCTATAATGGGTTTTATGAGATGGCCATGAAATATTTCTGAATTTTCTATTTAAAAACAAACAAACAAGCAGTTAAATTTAGGAGCAGGGGGGTTTTTGTGGTGTTTTATTGTGTTTTTTTTTGTTTGGTTGTTTGGTTGTTTTGTTGTTTGTTTGTTTTTTTTACTTTGGAACCTCGCTAGTATCCTTGATATATCTGGAGATTGGTTTCAGTTTTGGGCTAGGAGCATCTCCAAAAGGTAGTGGTATGTTCTTCATGCATAGTGATGTCAGTGGAGACCTTTCATGAAAGGGCCATTACTTCTTATGTATATGCAGAAAACTACAGAGATTTAATCTGAGGTTTAGTTTTATTTCAGTTTAGTGAAATCACTGCAGTAGGCTTTAGCTCTGTTTAAATTAGCCTTGTTTTGTGTTACTTTTAGTCAGCTGGGGACAAGTATAAAGTAATGCTCCAAGAAACTGAAATAACAGACACTTCTATAGTTCAACTACAATAGTTTAAAGCACCAGTTAAATTAAAACAGTGCAGCTGCTGCCTCCAGACAATACCTGCAATGCTGGAATGTCTTGTCTGTTGTTCACTCCATCATTTAATACCTGTCACTGACAGTGATCCTAGAAGGGATTTTCTTGTCATATACTTCACTCCCCTGTGTATCCAGGCCCTATCTCTGGGTTGACTGACATTACGTAAAAGCTTTCAGTCCTTGATGTGGGACTCAACCTGTATAAATTTAGCCATCCTGAAGTTACACGTCTAACTGAAACTAGTCATCTAGAGTCTATCATCCCAGTACAGGGTTGGATATTTGCAGAAGGTGATTCATGTCAACTGTCTCAGTTATCTTAGGATGGGATGTGCTGGTGTCTTGGTGTCTTTCTTTTTCTCTCTTCCACTGACTACACAGAAAACCTGGAAAACTGGCTTAGACTAGACTTACAGTATCTGTGACTAGGTTCTGATTTTGTGAAACATCTTGGAGAGCCATTTCAACCATTGTCCTGTCTCCCAGGGGTCCCCTATGCTCTCATGTGCATGTGAGAATTGCTCTCCAGTTAACATTTAGTCTACCATCAGTGTAGAGTCTCCCATCTTACTGCCTCTGATGGAGCTCCTTGTTGGACACCAGTGAAAGGCTATGCAAAGCCCTGACCACTTCAGTGTCATATAATCCCAAACCATGCATTGCATTAGATGGTTCAAGCCCTCTTGGTATAGGCATGCTTGACACTCTGCCCTCCCAAAATGCTGTGCTGCCTTTCAGTAAGATCTGGACAGGCTGGAGAGTTGAACAGGGAGAAATTTCAGGGAGAAAGTTCAACAAAGGCAAGTGTAGAGTCTTGCATCTGGGGAAGAACAACCCCATGTACCAGTGTAGATTGGGGACTAACCTGCTGGGGAGCAGCACAGGGGAAATGGACCTGGGGGTTCTGGTGGTCAGCAGGATGACCGTGAGCCAGCAATGTGCCCTTGCGACCAAGAAGGCCAATGGCATCCTGGGGTGTATCAGAAGGGCTGTGATTGGTAGGTCGAGAGAGGTTCTCCTCCTCCTCTACTCTGCCCTGGTGAGACCACATTTGGAATATTGTGTCCAGTTCTGGGCCCCTCGGTTCAAGAAGGACAGGGAATTGCTTGAAAAGAGTCCAGCGCAGAGTCACAAAGATGATGGAGGGAGTGGAGCATCTCCCTGTGAGGAGCGACTGAGGGAGCTGGGTCTCTTTAGCTTGGAGAAGAAGAGACTGAGGGGTGACCTCGTTCATGTTTATAAATTTGTGAAGAGTGAGTGTCAGGAGGAAGGAGCCAGGCTCTTCTCAGTGACAGCCAATGACAGGACAAGGGGCGATGGGAGCAAGCTGGAGCATAGGAGGTTCAACCTGAACATGAGGAAAAACTTCTTTACTGTGAGGGTGAGAGAGCACTGGAACAGGCTGCCCAGAGGCATTGTGGAGTCTCCTTTTCTAGAGATGTGTCTCTGTGTGACCTGGTCTAGGTGATCCTGGAGGGGGTTGGACTGGATGATCTTTCGAGGTCCCTTCCAACTCCTAATATTCTGCGATTCTGTGAAAATCTCTAAACCTAAGATGAGAGAATAACATCTCTTTACAGGTATAATTGTTCAGCTATTATAAGCATTGCTTGTATACAGTTACCTGGTGTTGATTTGAGTCTGGTCCCTTTGGGGACTGGCAGAACAAAGCTAGTTCTTTTGGTAAAGTTATGAGTTTGTGTCCATGATAATGAAATGGAATTGAGAAGTGAGATGTAGGGCAATATAAATCACTCTTATCAGCCCAGTTTCCTAATCCAATCTTCTCTGTTGCAGGGTGATCTTCAGAGGACAAATATTCAGCTTGATTTTGGAGATGGCATTGCAGTATCCTATGCTAATTTCAGCCCTGTTGAGGAAGGTATCCGACATGTGTATAAGAGTGCTGGAATCTTTCAGGTGATGGCGTATGCAGAGAACAGCCTGGGCTCTGACACTGCTGTCCTCTTCTTGCATGTGGTCTGTAAGTACTTCCAGCTGCTCAATTCCTTCAATACCTGCAAACCCACCTCCATACGCAACTCAAGCTCTTTAAAGGCTTGAACTTTTAGATGCTCCTTTCTCTTGTTAAGTAAGCCTTATTGAATGAAGAGGGAGGGAAGTTTCTTTAAACACAAGTATATTTGAAGTCCTCACAGGTACAGAGAAAAGTTTGAGAATGTTTCTCAGTATTTCTGAAAGTGTCAGAGACTAAACAACATATGAAACGAAGTCCAATGTGTGTTTTCAATATGCTTCTAATACTTAATTTAGATTAATCTAGCACTGCTTATGAAATAAAACAAAAGCATTGTGCTGAACTTGCTTCCTGGCATATGAATGTACTGAGGACTAATGTGCTACTTTTCATACTTCATGTGTTTGACATGCATCCCTGAATTGTCCCTCCTCTTCGGTAGATCAGTGGAAATTCCTCCCCATTTGGCACATGAACAGACTCAAATATAGAGCCCCCAGCTGGCTTTTCAAAGCCACAGGAGAGAGCAGAGATGTGGAACCCAGGATGAGACCAGGAAGTCTCCAGTTCTTTGTCCTGCTCTCAAACTCCTACATCTCCTGGGCAGAGAACTCCATCTGTGTTCAGATGTACCTCATCGGTTTGCCCCTAGTTGTAGTCACAGCTATGTCTGTCTTCCCCCTTAGTCAGTCAGAATGTCTTCTAGACTGTCTGTCTTTTACTTGAGCTCTTCTACTGGAAGGAAGGAAGTCAGAAATTTCCAAAACTCAACAACTTTTCTCTTCTTTTTCATTTCAAGCTCCCTGTGTGAAGGAATAAATGTTCCTTGAAGCCTTTATTATGCTCATAATTCCCTCAAAGTCAATCATGGCTGCATTTAACAACCTGTTATTAGAGCATTAACTGTTTTTTCCTTCACCTTGGACCATTAGCTGACAAAAGTGATGGTTACCTGGTAATAACAACCAGCTTTGTATGAGTTATCTGATTTTTCTTGTAGGAACTGCTTTTTCATGGTGAGGATTTTAGAACAGAATGTAACAAGGGGCAGTTGCTTAGTCTGGTTGTGCTATTCTACCCTCTTCTTCCTATACCTCTCAGATCTCTCCTTTGACTTTTATAGCATTCTTAGGTAGCCAACTTATTATGATTATCTCTAGGGGAATATTTTGCAAGCATTTAGATTCATGCTGACACTGAAATAAGATGATACATCAGTACTAGACTTCTAATATATTTGAATGTACTAGTCAATATAGGAGGTTTGACTTTGAAGATCAAATGTTCATACAAAAATGCCTGCTATTTAAATCACCCTTATTATACAATCTGTTTGGTGCTGGAGTCCTGTGCTGAAAAAAAAAGAAAGAAGCTTCTTGGCCTCAAGCAACAGTAGTTTTCTACCCTGCAGCTTTATCAGTGGTCACTCAACTTTTCACCTTTCTGGAATCTGTCAGGCTGTTCATCTCTTCATTTAAAGGAAGTGAAGATATTAGTGTTTTTCCTCTTACATGCACTGTCACAAAATATTTGAGGGAACCTGCTATTCTTGAGACCTCAAAGTACTTTCTGTCAGCAGATTTCAGGAGTGACTTGCTGGTAGAGACCCTTTGGGAAATGGGGAAAAAAAAGAACAAGTTTTAATGAGCCAAAATCAAGACTAGAGTCCCATTTTGCTCAGAGTTGTATGTTCCAGTGGTAAAAGAATAGTTCTTTCTCTCCAACATCCTTGCAATCCAAATAGCTGGAGAAGTGATTAATGTCTCCATTTCATGCTTGAAGAGCTGAGAGGTAGCACAAGAAGATGGTCTCAGTTAAAGTCAGCACATATTCTGCTTCCCAGAATTATCCTAAAAAAATTTTACTTCTTTCTTATTTCATCCGTTCTCTCTCACAGATAGTCTATCAGTTTTCTGTGTTTTAAAAGGTACCATCCAGAAAGAGTCAGTAACACTGTCTGATGTGCAGCAGTAATCAGCTGAAATTAAGTATGAGAATGAAACAAGAAGCAAAACAGCGGACGTAGTAAAAGCTTTAAACAGGCTAATAGATAAAACCTCAGTATTTTTTACACGTGTTTTTCTGGAGAGGATCTGGCTTCTTAATTCTGAACTTCATGCACTGGACTAATTCTGGATATTCGCATTTATTAGACACAGCTTTGCATTGATACTTCATTATTTTTTAGGTCTTTCAATACCAGGTTCTTCTGACTGCTTTAATATGCCAATGGACACATCTTTCAAGGAGTTCCTGCCTTTTTGCTAATGGTAACTGACTCCCCAAAGAATTCTCAAGGTCAGGCCAAAGTAAAAAATGATACCAAGGATTTCGAAAAGCATGCATCTTTCTGTTGGATGGCTTCTATACAACTGTCAGGGAGTATTTACTCAAGTCATAAATGCCTCATATATAATCAGATTTAAGCCATCTAGGCTAAAATGATTTTCTCACAAATCTTGGTAGCTCAGTGGATATATTTTCAAGAAAACACCTTCTTTCTCTCATGTCCTGTTCCTCAAGTTTTCAATATGAGCTTGCCCTATCCGATGTGAAGCCAGTTCATTTTTCTCCATCAAAATGCATTTTAAAAATTCTTCTAAAAACAGTGCTGACCCTGTCTGAAATTAGCACTGTGGAAAATGTGCATTTTTGGCTCCCTTAGAATTAAGAGTGAGAAAAAATATATGTGATTTTATTAATACATCAATTTATACATCTGATATCTTTTTCTGTTGCTTATTGACTGCTGAAATTCTCTTGTATTGCTGTAATAGAGTTTTACTGCTGATACAAAACATTTGATTTATTTAAAGGAAAGATCCTTGCTCTTCACAACTGCACGGAGAGGATTTAACTCAAAGCCTCTAATAATGAACTCCCTTTTCCCACAGGTCCAGTGGAGCGCGTCCATCTAAGCGTACCCTTTGTCGCCATCAGAAACAAGGACGTCAACCTTACTGCAGTGGTTTGGCCCAGCCAGGCAGGCACACTTACCTACTTCTGGTGGTTTGGGAACGGCACCAAGGTACAGCTGCCCTTTGGTTCATTTTTGTTTTCTAAGCTTGTTGCACCAGACAGGGAACTCTGTAAGCCCTAATAAAAACTTCTTGCTTTTGCTTGTTTTGTCTTTCAGTTTTTTCCTTATCTAAAAAGGGTTATCATTATCTGAAACTCTACCTTTGTGAGTTTACTTCTTCCTGTCTCATGTTGGTTTTAGGAGTCATTACTTTTTTACATCTGGTTGTTATCAGCCCTACTGAGCTTTGAAGACCACTGTTATTACCAGTGTTCCCTTGCAACTTAACTGCATTATATACCACTATATATGGAATAATACTGGCTTTCAACACCATGTTTAAAAGCTGCTGGTGTTCAAAAAACCGTGGGGGCTTCCATTATGTACCAGTATGCTGTATATAATGCTGGTTTCCAACACAATACTTTAAAGCTGTTGGTGTTCAAATAACCAGTTGTATATAGAATTTCAAGCTAGACTCTCAGTGAACTGTTTGTGTCTGTCTGTGACCATTGTTCACGGTCTTGGATATAGTAGAGAGAGAAGTGAGACTGTTTTGTAGTGAATTTTTAAACGACTGCCAAAAATGTATTCTAAAGAGCTTTTTTAATCCATAATTAAAGTAAGTGAAACTACAAGTGGTGGTCACACTTTCAATTGGAGAGAGTTTCAAATGTTGCTTATTAGCTACAGTTTTTATTGCAGGCTTTAAGAGAGACAGCTGACACAGACTGTCACTATCCTCCATTATTACAGTCGTGAAATGCACAGCTGATAATTTTGCAGTGTAATATCTGCTGTTATTTACAAAAGCAGTTTAAATCACATAATTGTCTACATCACTGAGTTACAATTGAAGGTAGGCACTGAGGTGAGATCACAGTAGAAAAAAGTGGGGATTTTACATGAAATATGGAACTTGAGACAAAAAAGGGTAGGTACACAAGTGTGTTATTTTCTCTTTGTCAGAGCTGCTTGCGTTTTAACCTCTTACCCTAGCTAGAAACAGTAGCAGGAGAAAAAAAAAAACAAAACAAAACAAAACAGTAGATGCTGTGTCTACTGGGATTTTGCATCAAGTTAGGTAGCTCACTGTAAGACCTCACCTATTTTTGTGGAAGTATAATTGAGGCACCAGAGGAGCTCAGGAACAAAAACCACTTACTATAACTTGGCAAGTTACTGTGACCTAGCTGAGCTGTGGCAACCACCCACATACACATATTCAGTCCATGACAAGTACCACATAATTCCACGTAGTTTATAAGGCACTGAAGGAGGGGGATGCAAAATCATGTTGCAGTTCTGATATTTTTGGCTCGGTGGTCACATATGCCATTAAAGTACGCCTGAGACAATTCAGGTGTTGATAACTTGATCATCTGCTTAGCCCTCCAGTGCAACCAGGTGTCAGAGTTTTCCTGTCATTGCTTTTGTCCTTAATATAGAAGATGGTTGTGAATAGAGCCTTAGAAAAGATTTTTTGAAACATAAAGTAATCTAGAAAAGGTAGAACAAAGCAGTGGCATTTCCTGAAGTTTTCCATGCAGCTCTCATGCTGCTTGCATGTAAGTTGTAAATACGATCTGTTACTTGTTTTATCTTCTAGCTTAAATTTCAGACCCATAGGCAACAGAGTAGAAGCAGATATGGATGTATTTGGGATGGATGCTTTGGACATAGCTGTACATGGAGTAGCTGATGCTGATGATACCTTGGAGTGATTGTAAATGTTGCTGAAATATGTTCAGTTGTGGATTAGTAAAGACGGTGCCACTTACCTGTGACCAAATCAAAGACACAGAGCTCCTTTCATTCTCTATAAAGCGTTATCTCCATCTACCTCATTAAATGTATTTCAACTTCAACTCTGACAGAAATATGGCAAAGAATATAGACATAGCAGCAGCAGCCACCTTTTTTTTTTTTCTTTTCAGGACAACAGACTGCATCACATCAAAATTACTTCTACGATGTTTACTATACATATCATATCCTTCCTGTGCTCACTCATGGGCAAACTGTAGTGTTCTTAGTACAGGTGGAAGATGGGGACATTGATTTGTGTGTGAATTACAAGATGAGGTGTATAATATTGTGCATAATGACTGGTATTGTTAGGTGATATATTCTGGTTCCATGTTGAGGGATTGCAGCTTATTTTCCTGTTCAGCCTGTAGGCATCCCAGGTAGAACCAGATGTATCTCCTGTCACCATGCAGTCTCACTGCGGTACTTGCTGTGTTGCTGCACAGGCGAATGTTGTCTTAGACAAAAATGACCTAGCTGAGTCTCTTCTGCTGCCCTCCCCACCCTGCTGGAACCATTGCACTGAATTTCTACTGTGCTAATTTTTGCAGTGTACCCAAAGGCCAATTTGCCTGGATTAACACAGGTCCAGTTTAATAAATGTGTCCAGCTGTCTAATAGCTTTGAGCAAATGAACCTTTAACTACTTGATTTAATTTAGAGTTAGTTTCGAGGTCTTGGTGCTTGAATTAAAATTAAGGAGTTGGCTGAATGTTAAAGCTCCATGATGGAGGTGAAATAAGCCATGATAATGGAATGTTCAGCATACATACATACAAAAAGGAAAAATGGTAATTTTAAAGGCCAGATTGGTTCCTCTTTGCATGGAGTCACAGCCTGTAACATCCAGGAAGATTGCTAATATCACTGCAGTTTGATATAGGCCCATTCTCCTTTTCCAGAATGTATGTATATCTAAATATATGTTAGCTAGGCCTTTAGGGCTAGCACAGTCTTGCACCCTTGATTTGGTCTGTAAGTCTCCAATGATCAAAAAGATTTTTTTCTACTGTTTTTTCAGCTCATGGATGAGGGAATCAATGGAAAGTGACAGTCTGCAGTGGCAGTAATGTGTTTGCCAGCCTGTCAAATAGTAGAAATTTTGATTTGTCTATGGAAATGGCATATATGGCCACTGCTGTGAAATGCAGGCAAACGGCAGTCTGATAGGATGAAGCATGAGAGCTGGATGGAGAATGCTTCTCCTCCAGAAATAAACCGGCAGTGTGGTGGAGGGACAATAGCAATGGTACAGTGATTTTATGTGTGCTCTTAAACCTCTAAGTTCTTTTGCAATGGAGGCTAGTATCACTATTTCCATTTTAAGTGGTTTAATTTAAACCAAGAGATTTGTCTAAAGACCAGCTGTCAGATCAGTGGCACTGCTAGGGCTGGACCTTTGATTTTCAGTATGCAAATCTCTTTTCCCGAACATGATGATGTGTATCAGTGTGAAAGTTTCCTGGATAAAGAGGAGAGCTGTAGTGCTCTTAAGGACTTTTTTGGTCAAGAAGGTGCAGATAAACCCAGCCTTCTCTGCCAGGGCTCTGAGCTGGCTAAATGCAAGTCAGCTTTCTTCTGGAAACTATTCAGCCACATTCAAACAGCAGTATTGGCAGGTTTTATGCCATACTTTCAACCTTTTTAGTGTGGTTTGCCAGCTTATGGTTGGAGATAGCTTACAGGCTCAAAACATGGACAGGGCAATGCTGGGTGCCCACACTCTGTCTTGAGCAAAGTTGCGCTGGGATAGATTGATGGATTTGTGCTCCTAAGAGCAAGGGCTGGCCCTGAATCTGGACAATGTGGATTGTTTGAAGAAGCATCTGTATCTTTGCTTTATGTTCAAATGCTGGTTTGAGCTCAACCCTGTGTTCTGCACAGCTGATGTAGCAACTGTGCTGCATGTGCATGCATGTGTGTGTACAACACTGCATTCTGCAGCGCTAATTCCGCAATTGCTGACTGTGCTTTACTGAGGTATTCATAGCATAACAGGTTGTAGTTCAGTGGAAGAATATTTCAAGAAACATTTACTGAAGTGAGAGAAACCATTGTCAACGGGACAGTTCTCACTGGGTGGTGTTTGGACCATATTTGGCCCTTAGCAGGACATGAAAACTCTGAGCACCATTTCTGTATCAGGGAGGAAGGATATCGTAGCCTGGTGGATTAGTAAGGTGCATTGTGATCCTGAGTTAATCTCATCCTGATTTTGATATCACCGTTTGTGTTTACCTCTTGCAGCCGCTCATCACCTTGGAGAGCAGCATCTCATACGTCTTTGCTGTAGAAGGGATGAACACCGTCACTGTGCAGGTTTCTGCAGGCAACACTCTCATCCAAGACACCAAGGAGATTGCAGTGCATGGTACGTACAACCTTTTAAAATCAGATCTTGGGGGATATCTAGAGGTGAAGGACAGCCACTACTAAACCAAAATGAACTTTCTGTTTCCTGGAGGAACCTCTGAAGACAAACTGCAAACAGAGGGTGTGTTGTGATCACAAAATACAGAAGGGAATTGGATGGGGCAGCTAACCAAATTTGTAAGCTCAGCACTGTGTTAAAGTGTCTGGTGTCTCTTTTGCCTCTTGGTCTGTTTGTACACCCTGACTGGGAACTCCCAAAACTAAAAACACTTAGAGCTATAGCCAGACTGCCTTCCCTCTGCTTCCTAGCTGTGGAAAGAATTAATTATAGTGTATCATTAAGATGGACTGAATACAGCTGGTCTTTCTCTTTATATAGTGACTGTATAAATGATAAGAGTCGAGAGGGGTCTGGAAATCAGGGGGTAGAAATTACTCTTGTTGGTATCTCTACCCATCATTCATACCACAGCTGAAGGTCTGAGTGTGTCCACTGGACTTTCCTGTGGGTAATGTTTCGTATGTTCTTGCCATATTTGCATGTCATGGGCTCCAAAAAGCACCGTTTGGCAGATCACAAGGCTTACTCAGTTTGGGGCTTGATAAAGGCATTCTCAGCAGTTTTGGCCAGGACTTAGAGATTTCTCCAGACAATAATTTCCTCCCGGGGCTAGTCTCATTTTCCTTATCCAGTTATTGGCATCCAGCATTTGAGGGCCAGCTTTTCTTTGGAAAGCAAGTTTTATTGAGAGATCTGGGCTTCAAATAACTAAGGTTACACTGTGTGGTTGAACTCTATGTATCTTGTTTCAGTAATTAAATATAAATAAATTTCCTGCTGGTGACTGGAAAGCTGTATGCTCAGATTTAACAAGCAGCTAAATAGATATTTATTGATTACCTGGGTGTGAAATGGGGTGGGCATTTAATAATTTGTTAATATGATTTAGTAATACTCAAACTTGCTATTAGCAAATGTAAGTAACCCTCTACTTGATCATCTTGAGCATTGGAAAATGCGGCATTTACTTCTGGGAAACTTGTGTCTTTCCACTAGTCGCTGGACTAAACCTGAACCAAGTGTATCTGACAGGGGTCCCTGCAGGTGATTTTGATCTTTCTAGTTGAGAAGTAAAAAAGGTAGGTCCCACAGAATACTCCTCACTCTTTGGTTTTAAACACTTTGCAAGGAATTTTGCCGTTCTGTTTAAGAGATCCAAAGCTTTGGGCTTTATCACAAAGAGAAATTGATCCAATTGGATTGTCCAAATGGTCTTATGCAGCACCATGCTGCAGACTGACCTGGTCTAAGGAGTCATTTCAAACCCCCAGTCTAGTGATCAGTTCAAGTCTAGATACACAAATGAGTGACACCTTTGATAAACATGCCCTCTACTAAATTGTATCCTAATCTGTGTTGTGTGTTATTATGGCTCTAGGCAGGAAGGCATGACTTTCTGGTGTTAGCAGTGGAGGCGATTTATTAAAGTTTTTCTCAAATTGTAATTAACAGACCAGACTTTACTCAAAAAATGTACGTGGTACTGAGGGTTCAAAAGTCAAAGGCTTTTTATATCAGGCTCCAGGTTAAACCTTCAGAACTTGAGCGTGTTTCCTTGCTCTCTTTGATGCTTCTTTTGTTTAAAAATATACTGCACCATTTATAAAGAAAGAACAGATCTTGCAAAAGATGCAACACAAATGCTGTGCTTTCACATCCCTGCTATTCACTGGTTTTCCTCATTTATACTCTTGCTGATTTATCTTGATCTAAAAATGGTACCTGCTTACAAATGATTAATGGCACTTATTTGAAGTGTCTGGAGATCAGGTGCTTCAAGGTGAAGCTGAGCACATCTCCAAAACCAGAAAGGAGAGTCTTCTACCCTGAGAAGTTATATCTGAGTGTGGTTCCCATCCTGGATCTGTGCCTTCCACTGGCCCAAATCCGTTGTGCCCAGTTGACATAAAGATTCCAGGCCTGGTCTCTTGGTGACACCAGAGAGGAGAGTTGGAATTGGAGAAAAATTTAAACTGTTCTCTGTTTGAAGTCTAGGAAGTTTTTCTTCCTCCCTGCAATCAGTCAATTTCAAAGTGTTTCATGAGTAGCCGTTGCTTCATTAGCTGGTCATTAGCACCACTGGGTTCTGATTTGTTGGAGTATTAACCACTCATGGCTTCCCTCCAGGAGAGCAAACAGATAATACCTGCTTTTGAAAACATTACCAACAGTGTGTTTATTCTGCAGAGCACAAGGCATGCAATTGCACAGACCTTCCAAATCTCAGCCAGATGCTGCCTTATTTACTGGTCAACTTCCTTGTAAGCAGAATGTGATGAAGTTGAGTGGCAAAATTACAAAGCCCAGAGGCATCTTGAAGGGAAGTCATCTTCTCACCTATGTCATTGTTACTTGCATTTCTTTAGGGAAAAGCCCCAAGTTGGCATTAGGAAAAATTGTCCTCTATAAGAACCTTTAAGAGAATTCTTTCCTTGCAACCCTTCTGTCTTGCTTAATGTTAGCCAGGCCTTCTTCTTTCAGCCTTTCCTCTCTCTCTTGCTTTAAGATAATATACTGACGGTCTTTCTGTTGTCTTCTGCACCCTTGGCTGTACTCTGAATACTGCCTGTTTAATCTTCTTATAAATACTGTTTTTCTATTCCAGAATATTTCCAATCTCAGCTCCTGTCATTTTCTCCCAACTTGGACTACCATAACCCTGACATCCCTGAATGGAGGCAAGACATTGGAAAAGTCATCAAGAGAGCTCTGGCACAGGTGAGCATCTGTTTCCTCATCTGTACTAACGTTGTCTGTGCTGTTAAAACATGCGCTTTTTCAACGTGCTAGCTTAAAAGAATAGGAAAGAACAGCAATAATGAGGCTATCATTTTAAATCAATAAAAAGCTTCTTAATATGCTGTATCTTTTTACAGAGGCAAACTATATTGGGAATTTTGTGAAAATAGTATAATTACTTTTATTAATGTTTCTGTGGTGCCTTTTAGCTTTTAATATCCCTGAGGTCTTTACAAATTCCATATTGTAATAGTATCATTATTATTCTTATTTTGCCAAATAGATATTACAGTATCTACTGTTTTCTACTCCAAACATTTAGGTAGTGTTACTGTGTGTTGTTAAACAGCTGATCCACTTCATCCCGTAACATAGGCATTGTAGTATGTTGGATGCATGAGGATGTTATTTTTACCTCTTCCTGATACTCTAATGTAGCTAAATGTAGCAACTGGTGAATAATATAAAGCTCTACTCCCTTTCCAACTGGCACAAAAAATGAGGATTCAGAGGGAAAATAAACTTACCTTTAAAATACAGGACAAAGAGAGACTTCTGTGGGTGGAAGATTTGAATCTTCCTTTGGGATTAATTAGAATATGTAAACTAGCACTCATATTCCTCCAGGAAAGGAGGCAGAATAATTTATGATATCAAGTAGCCAGGGATTTGGGGTTTGTGTGAAATCAGGAGATAGATTTAGGTAAACTTCTGTGGTTTTTTTTACATTCTGCCAAAAATGTATCTTGCTTTTCTTTGCTTCAGCTGCAGCTGTTCTTAGAAATGAAGGCTGATTATTTTTACAGGGAAAGTACATT